ATACCAGGTTATCATGTTATCATGTTTATATGCACAAGACAAAACAAAACTAAACACTGTTAATGTTATCAAAGTCATATACCCTAATTTTTTTCATGTATAAGAATCAAAATCAAAAATAGAACATACAGTGAAAGGTTAGATGGAGGCTGCGGTGCTCTTCGAAATGGCCGGCGATGGTGTCACGGAATCGGCAGACGACGGCGGTGCGGTGCTCTCCGGGTTCTCAACTTCACAACTTCTTCTTTTTTTTGTTTTGTTTTGCTTTCTCTTCTTACCCACCCCTCTTACTAACTCTCCTTTTCTATTTTATAAAACTATCCTTCTACTACTAACTTTCCTCCCTCTATCTTTCTAAAATTATAATTTGGCCCCAACAATTATTTAATTCAAATTATAATATATAACTCTACTAAAACAATATTACACTAAATAATATTTATTCTATATAAACCTAATTATGCCAATTAATCAAACAAAGTCAAATATTACTACACACCAAATTAATATTATTCAAAATAATATTTCGACATAATAAATATTTTTATTTCATATTACCCAATTAATATTTCAATCGATCTCAATTGAATATATTTCTCAAAATAGATATAATTTAATAGTTTTGAAAAATAATTAATGAAATAACATTTAAATATAAACGGCGTGTTACAACTCTCCCCCACTTAAAAGATTTTCGGCCTCGGAAATTACCTCTAAACGAACAATTCGGGATAGGAATCCTGCATCCGACTTTCAAGCTCCCACGTCACATTACCATTCGCCGAACCACCCCATGCAACTTTAACCAAAGCAATCTCTCTTCCTCTTAGTTGTTTCACCTTTCTATCTTCAATCCTCACTGGTAAAACCTCAACCGTCAAATTGTCTCTTACTTCTAAATCATCCGCTTGAATAACATGAGACGGATCCGCAATATACTTTCGTAATTGCGAAACGTGAAACACATCATGCAAATTTGAAAGTGATGGCGGCAATGTAATCCGATAAGCCATACTTCCAATCCGCTCTGAAATCTGATAAGGACCAATAAACCGAGGTGTTAACTTCCGCGATTTAAGCGCCCTTCCAACACCCGTAGTTGGATTCACCTTCAAAAACACATGTTCATCCTTCTTGAACTCAAGAGGTTTCCTCCTCTTGTCATAGTAACTCTTTTGGCGATTCTGAGACACTTTCATCTTCTCTCTTATCAATTTGATCTTATCCGTAGTCTCTTGAACCAATTCCGGACCAACTATAGCACTTTCTCCCGTCTCGTACCAACACAAAGGTGTCCTACACCGTCTTCCATACAATGCCTCAAAAGGAGCCATGCCAATGCTAGAATGAAAACTATTATTATAAGTAAACTCAATCAAAGGCAAACGACTCTCTCATGAACCTCCTTGATCCAAAACACAAGCACACAACAAATCCTCAAGTGACTGAATTGTTCTCTCCGTTTGACCATCCGTCTGAGGATGATAAGCGAAACTCAATCTCAGCTTAGTACCCAAGGCTCTTTGTAAACCTTCCCAAAATATTGAAGTGAAACGCGGATCTCTATCTGAAAAAATACATGTAGGAATACCATGTAAACAAACAATCCGTTCCACATACAACTTAGCAAGCTTCTCCATAGTGTAATCCATCCTAATCGGAATAAAGTGTGCAGATTTAGTCAATCTATCCACTATGACCCAAATAGCCTCATGGTTACTCGGAGTCCTCGGCAAACCAGAAACAAAATCCATCGAGATACTATCCCACTTCCACTCGGGAATTGACAACGGTTGCAACAAACCCGAAGGCTTCTGATGTCCAATCTTAGACTTTTGGCAAACCAAACAAGCATACACAAACTCAGCAATTTCTTTCTTCATACAAGGCCACCAAAACAACTTCTTTAAATCTTGATACATCTTCTTAGCACCAGGGTGAATACTTAACCCACTTCTATGACCTTCCTCAAGAATCCTCTTTTTCACATCCCCCACATCGGGAACGCAAACTCTATCATGACATCTCAAAATTCCATTCTCATCAATTCTGAACTCTCCACCTTGACCTTGATTCACCAAAGTAAACTTGTCAACCAAAACCAAATCTGACTTTTGCCCATCTCTAATCTCTTCCAAGACACCACTAGTAAGCTTCATCATACCAAGCTTCACGCCAAAATAAGTCTCTTCACACACCAAACTCAAATCTCGAAATTGCTCCAACAATTCCCATTCTTTAACCATCAACATAGACATGTGTAAAGACTTTCTGCTCAAAGCATCTGCAACCACGTTTGCCTTACCAGGATGGTAATTCAAACTGAAGTCATAATCTTTAAGAAACTCTAGCCACCTTCTTTGCCTCATATTCAACTCTTTTTGATCAAACAGATATTTCAAACTCTTATGATCGCTAAAGACGTCGAATCTCGACCCAAACAAATAATGCCTCCAAATCTTTAACACAAAAACCACCGCTGCCAACTCCAAGTCATGAGTTGGATAATTCCTCTCATGCACCTTGAGTTTCCTCGAAGCATACGCCACAACCTGCCCATTTTGCATTAACACACCTCCTAAACCCATCAAAGAAGCATCACAATAGACCGTAAACGGTTCAGATGGTTTAGGCAAAATCAAAACTGGCGCAGTTGTCAACCTTCTCTTTAACTCTTGGAAACTATCTTCACACTGCGGAGTCCACACGAACGCTTGACTCTTCCTAGTCAATTGTGTCAACGGTAAAGCTAGCTTGGAAAAGCCTTCAATGAACTTACGGTAATAACCCGCTAAACCAAGAAAGCTTCGAATCTCAAAAACTGACTTTGGAGATTCCCATTCTGACACGGCTTCTATCTTCGAAGGATCCACAGCAATACCTCCACGAGATATCACGTGACCAAGGAAACTCACTTGTTCTAACCAGAATTCGCACTTTGAAAGTTTAGCAAACAAATGATTTTCCTTCAGAATTGACAAAACAATTCCCAAGTGTTCGGCATGCTCTGCTTCACTCTTGGAATAAATCAAAATGTCATCGATGAACACCACCACAAACTTATCCAGAAACTCATGAAAGATTCTGGTCATATACTCCATGAACACACCAGGTGCATTCGTAACACCAAAAGGCATCACCGAATACTCATAGTGTCCATAACGAGTTCTGAACGCAGTTTTCTGAATATCACCCGCTTTCACGCGAATCTGGTGATAGCCTGACCTCAAGTCAATCTTGCTAAACACACACGCACCCACCAGCTGATCCATTAAATCATCAATCCTTGGCAAAGGATACTTGTTCTTAATGGTCACTTTGTTTAGCTGCCTATAATCCACACAAAGTCTCATTGTTCCTTCTTTCTTCTTCACAAGTAAAACTGGAGCACCCCACGGACTCACACTAGGACGAATAAACCTTTTGTCAAGCAACTCTTACAGCTGACTCTTCAGTTCCACTAGTTCCGACGGTGACATCCTATAAGGAGCCATCGAAACAGGACTAGTACCAGGAATTAAGTCGATGGAAAACTCTACCTCGCGCTCAGGAGGTAAATCCGTAATCTCTTCAGGAAACACTTCAGGAAATTCGCATACCACAGGATAATCCTTTCTTACTCTACCATCTTCCAAAACCATACTCGCCATAAGCATAAACAACCCATCTCCGTTCTTCACACTCTTCTCAACTTGCTGTGTAGACAAGAAAACCACACCATCTTTCTCGGACTCGAGAAAAAGAACAGCCTTAGTAAAACAGTTGATATAGACATGGTTGGCTTTCAACCAGTCCATACCCAGAATCACATCTATCTGATGCAAAGGAAGACACACGAGATCAACTTCGAAATCTCTTCCGCACATGCGCAAAGGACACTTCAAACAAACAACTGAAGTAGAAACTGAACCCATCGCAGGTGTATCTACCTCCATACTTCGATCCAAAGTAGACAAGACAAGGCCCAATCTCTTGGCACAATCTAAAGCAACAAACGAATGCGTCGCACCCGTATCAATAATAGCAACCAAAGACACATTAGAGATAAAGCATGTACCTCTGATTAGACGTTCCTCAGCAGAAGTCTCTGCTCCAGATAAAGCGAATACTTTTCCAACTTCTTTCTTTGGCTTTGGACATTTGGTACTTATGTGGCCTCGCTCACCACAATTAAAGCAAGTTACACTCACACCAACTCTATAATCCACCGCTTTGTGACCCACCCTGTCACACTTGAAACACTTAACTATCCCCTGGCGACATTCCATAGCACGAGGTCCCTCTTTACCACATTTAAAACATTTGATTGGAGTAGTCACTCCCCCACTCGGACTCTTTCCACTACTTATTGGTCTCTTTCCTCTTCCATCATAAGGCTTAGGACGCATCTGTCCCTTACCTCTTTTCTCACTCAAGCTCTTGTAATAAGCAGTGCTATCCCGACTGTCTTCGTCGTAGATACGACTCTTATTAACCAACTCAGAGAATCTTGTAATCTGCTGATACCCAATCGCCTTCTTTATGTCCGACCTCAAACCATTAACAAACTTAAGGCACTTCGACCTCTCAGCATTAACAGTGTTGTAGTGAGGACAGTATTTGATCAAATCTTGAAATTTAGCCGCATAGTCAGCTACCGAACCACTACCTTGTTTCAATTCCAGGAATTCAACTTCCTTTTTACCACGAACATCCTCCGGAAAATAATTCTCCAAGAATGCATCTCGGAAAATTTCCCAAGTCACCACAACCTGCTCCTCCTCATACCTCTGACTGGCATTGATCCACCAGTCTTCGGCCTCTTTAATCAGCATGTGTATTCCGAATTGCACTTTCTGAGCGTCGGTGCAATTCATCACACGAAAGATTTTCTCAATTACTTTTAACCATTCTTGAGCTTCCACCGGAGCATGCTCTCCCTTGAAAGTAGGCGGGTTGTTCTTTTGGAACTTCCCAAGAGCACGGAAAGCATCTTCAGTACCATCATGTGGCGCTTGAGTCGTTTGCGGCATCTGATTTATTGACCCCGCAAGCAACCTCAATGCCTCAGCTAAAGCATCATCATTCCTTCTACCAGCCATCTTCTCTACAACACAAAGTATTGATCGCGTTAGCCACACAATCAAATACAAGGGATTAACAAAAATAAGACCTGACAACTGACCGACTATGCTCTGATACCACAATTGTAACACCCTTCTAATTACCCCAAATAAAAGGCAAGAATTAAAATCAGAGAAAATAAATTTGCACGGAAGGGATGTCACAACACACATCATATTCCAAAATTTTAAAGAAAAACAGACAGGGTACGTTTGTAAATTTAAGCATATCAACACAAAACAAACATACATAAATATTTAACTTCTTTCTCTCGTGCAAACGCAACGGAGTTTCAATATTTAACTTCATATCCATTCATGGAGGAATCAAAACATAATTCAAGGCATCAAGCCATGATAATTCACATAAAGCATATGTTATCAAGTCTCACATACACAAAATAATATACACAAAGTAAGGATTATATACATCATAATCCGAATACAAAATAGACGAGTTCGACACGAAATATACCCCCCCCCCCCCAGGTGTTACTACCAGAGCATCGACTCGACTCTAATCAAAATAAAATAGATTGCAATCCAATGCATCCGCTAACTAGCGCCTCGCGCTACCATCGTCGGTACCTGAACAATGCCATCAAAAGCATTTTCAAACAGAAGGGTAAGAATTCCAATAATCATATAACATGTAATTAAGGTAAAGCAATGGCAATAAATAAAGCAATACATCAGGATCATATTCATTTTATCACATATAGTATCCGTACTCAAGGAAGTCATTTCCAACACATTAACCATATAAACCAATTATCCGAATACTCATACCATTGGCACATAACCATAATTCAAACAACAACAATATTGGCACACAACCAAACACATCAACACACATACACAATATACACAATTATGCATGTGACTCACAACACGACTCAACATATGCGAATGCGGTACCGACTTGTGGACCCGAAGTTCCACCGCTTATTTTTCCACACAGGATCAAAGCCACTACGTCTATTTCCACTATAGGATCAACGTCTATTTTTGTGAACCCATGTTTCACCGCCTATGTTCCCTTTCCGGGTCAAAGCCACTACGACTATTTCCATTCAAGGATCAACGTCTATAAAATATGAACCCACTGTTTCACCGTCTCTATTTCAAGACCAACCATGCCATGCAATGTACAACCAACAACTCGTATGCAATTAAGACCACTTCCGACCTTAACATACACATACCACATATTCCAACACAATGAAATACCAACAATTGTACATGCATTGCAAATATAATTCACAAATCAAGTAATGTACAAGTTTAAACAATGTTACTTCCATGATTTATTCAAATCAAACACAGTTTCATAAACCGGAAGCATTCAACTTAATTCGACTTCACCTGCAAAAATTCACATTTTTCAACAAAAATGCCACCAACAGATCAACCAAAATTACTACCATAAACCGCATAATAATTCAGACTATTTGGGCTAAAATCGCTTAATTAATTATCTGCCAAAAATTCTATTATTTCTATTTATAAATCCTACAAAATTATTTATTAAAGATATTAAATCATTATTATTATTATTATTATTATTATTATTATTATTATTATTATTATTATTATTATTATTATTATTATTATTAATAATTAGTATAATATATTGTTATAACAATAAAGTATTATATAAATAGTATATGAGTAAGCAATGTTACTAAACTGAAATTCTAAATGTCGTTACAGTGCTATTGTCGTTCATACTAGTGAAGCACTACAGTTTATATTGAAGTAAATTATTCCTCTATGTTACAGCATAATGGTTTTCTAATGTTATTTCTGTGCCGCCCTATAGTATGTCCAAGCATAAAGCCACTTTTATTTCACTACAGTAGATATCACTTTGTTAGCAAAGTATCAAATAAGTCATTTTATATCTATTAGGAACATGGTCGCTACAGTAATAAATGGTTCTGCCATATCAAAATTATCAGTTACATGACCCTACTTTCTAACTTTTATTCTTAAGTATATCAAATAGTAAAATAAAACTTCAATATATTAATTCCAAAACACAAATAATCATCACAAATTAATTACTAAAACTATACTAAACAACCTGTTTTAACAAACTTTCACAAATTTGTTTCCATAACCCACAAATTTCTAAGCTGCTGAAACCAAAACTATACCAGGTTATCATGTTATCATGTTTATATGCACAAGACAAAACAAAACTAAACACTGTTAATGTTATCAAAGTCATATACCCTAATTTTTTTCATGTATAAGAATCAAAATCAAAAATAGAACATACAGTGAAAGGTTAGATGGAGGCTGCGGTGCTCTTCGAAATGGCCGGCGATGGTGTCACGGAATCGGCAGACGACGGCGGTGCGGTGCTCTCCGGGTTCTCAACTTCACAACTTCTTCTTTTTTTTGTTTTGTTTTGCTTTCTCTTCTTACCCACCCCTCTTACTAACTCTCCTTTTCTATTTTATAAAACTATCCTTCTACTACTAACTTTCCTCCCTCTATCTTTCTAAAATTATAATTTGGCCCCAACAATTATTTAATTCAAATTATAATATATAACTCTACTAAAACAATATTACACTAAATAATATTTATTCTATATAAACCTAATTATGCCAATTAATCAAACAAAGTCAAATATTACTACACACCAAATTAATATTATTCAAAATAATATTTCGACATAATAAATATTTTTATTTCATATTACCCAATTAATATTTCAATCGATCTCAATTGAATATATTTCTCAAAATAGATATAATTTAATAGTTTTGAAAAATAATTAATGAAATAACATTTAAATATAAACGGCGTGTTACAAAGCGTATCTTTGTCTAGAAAATAAATCCTTGACAAATGCTGGAGAATTTTGGGAAGTTAAATCCTGGATCACCGTTGAGGATGAAAAGTATGTGTATCTTCAAACTTTGTTTAGAGTGTTTTCACCGGGGATTCCTGCTTTGTTGTTTGAGGAGAATTCTGCTGGGAACATTGACTTTGCTTGAGAAAACTCTACGAGGAGTATTGATTTCTGCTTGGGTAATAGAGTTCAGGAGTTTTAGTTGTCCATTGCTCTACTGGGGAGAATAAAAGTTAGCCGTTATCTAGTTAGATTCCAGGCTTCGCAGCAAATTGCTGGGGGAACATAAAGTTAATTATTATCGAGTCATATTCCAGGCTTCACAACAACTTTCTAAAGTTAACTGTTATCTGGTCGGATTCCAGGCTTTGCAACAACTGAAATTAACTACTATCTGGTCAGATTCTAGGCTTCACAGAAAGTTGAAGTTAATCTGCTATCTGGTTGGATTCCAAGCTTCACATCAATTTAGATGAAATTAACTGTTATCTGGTCAGATTCCAGGCTTCATAGAAAGTTGAAGTTAATCTGTTATCTGGTCGGATTCCAGAATTCACAACAACTTAGACGAAATTAACTGTTATCTGGTCGGATTCCAGGCTTCGCAGCAAATTAAAGTTAAACTGTTATCTAGTTGGATTCCAGGCTTCACAACAACTTAGATGAAATTAAATGTTATCTGGTCGGATTCCAGGCTTCATAGAAAATTGAAGTTAAACTGTTATCTGGTCGGATTCCAGGCTTCGCAGAAAATTAAAGTTAACTGTTATCTGGTCGGATTCTAGGCTTCGCAACAACTTATGAAATTAACTATTATCTGGTCGGATTCCAGGCTTCTCAGAAAATTGAAGTTAACTGTTATCTGGTCAGATTCCAGGCTTCGCAATAACTTGCTTGAAAGGATGAAGTTAAACTGTTATCTGGTCGAATTTCCAGGCTTTGCAGTAACTTACTGGGATATTAACGACTCCGTTGGGGATTACAATGACTCTATTGGGGATTAAGGGTTTTGTCCATTGATTTGTAATAGTCTGAGAGGCAAACTCGAGTTGGGGAATTTCCATTTCGTTGGGGAAATAAACCCAGTTGAAAAGAATATTTTGACAACCTATTAGGGAAGTGAATTCTTTAGGAAGAACTCCACCAGGCTTCTTCTTTTAAGACCAACTCAGTTGGGAGAGGGTTTTTGGGAGATTAGAACTCTGGATATACGAATTTAGCTTAGTGGGGAAAATTTTGTTGTAGTAACTCCGTAGGGATATCCCGAATCCTCAAGGATATACTTGTTACTATTTTTATGTATACATTTGTTAATAGTTTAATCATGTTCATATGCATATGTTCATTCAATTTTAGTCATTGGACGCTTTTGCACACAAAATAGAAAAAACAAAAAGTTTGCACTTCAAAGTATATTTGTATTGATGTTTTGCCCATAAATAGGTATTTTTGTACAAGGAGACAGAGATCCTAGTAAGAGAAAATCGTCGAAAGTATGAAAGGGATACAAAGTGAAAACGAAAATAATAACCACGTGGAAGTGATCTCATTTTGTTCCAACTTTGCTATTGCCCCTATGTCTTCAAACATCATGCCTCGCTGTTGACAGAAGTTGATTGAATTGATCTTGAACCAATGAACTTGGACCTTGGTAATGAAGTTGGCTGCAGAGATCCAACGAGACATAGTCGTACGCTTTAATCCCTAACTTTTTCCTAGACCACATGTGATACGGTGGGAGAACTGACTTGAGGGTTTTGCGTTTGATCGCAAATGTTGCGGTTAGCAAGAGTCGCCACTGACTTTTCTTTTATCCATAAGGAAAGGTGAAAAAGAACAGGAAAGACCTTTGAGATTATTTCTTGAGTTCGGGGGGTAGATTATAAAAAGGGAAGGTATTAGCACCCTTTTCATCCATGGTTTTCCATGGGCTCTTAGTTACTTGCTAGATCACTTGCTTTTGTTTGAAATTGTGCTTTGTGTGGTTTTTGAAAGTATTTTGTAAAGAGGCCGTTGTTTAGGAAAACTTTGTAATGATTCTCGTTTGTAAGAATGTATATAAAGTGTTTGATCTTTTGGAAATATTTTCAAGTTTGCAAGATGTTTTGAAAGTGTAGGTGTTTGTTTTGAAAATAGCAAGGATGTTTATTTTGAAATGGAGCAAGTAATTAGGAGCATTATACCTACTCAAAAGTCTTTTCTTGTTCATTTTCTTTTCCTTTGACATTGTTATCTTACCATTGATTTGGTAAGTAACCCTATCTTTGGATGTAAACGGGACGGGTGTGGGTCATCGTGTAACCATGATTAGCAATGTTGCAAGGTATCTTAGCATTCTCTTTTAGGGACCAAGATCATTTGAAAGGCAACTTAGATAGCGTCATCG